AAAAAGGGCTCGGCATGCCCTCGGTGGATATATAGGGGCATTTCCGAATGAGCAAAAATTCAACGTTCCGATGGTCGTCGATGTTTTCGCATGGACCGTCGTAATTACGACAGTCAACGCTTCTCTCTCTCTCTCTTCTTCCTTCATCCTGCTGCAGTTTTTCGCGAATGTCTCGCGTGTTTTAACTCCGACGAGGAGCCCGACCGGGAGAATTAAATCATTCGACACCCGCGTTTGGGGAACAAAAAAAAACACTGCACCCCGAGTGCACTGTGCAACGACAATTATCGAAGTGGGACACGGACAGTGTCGAAATAACGGACGGGAAAAATCAGAGAAATCTAACGAGCCATTCAGGAGCGAGTTAATCGATCGCTCATAGAAGACATTGAGAAAAATTGTAATTAAACTTTTGATTAAAATAAAATTATTTCTGAGTAGTTAAAAATTAACGTTTCATCGTTATGATAAACTAACGGTAACAATGTTGATAAAAATTAATAAAAAAGAAATATATTGATCAATATCAAAATGGGTTTTTTGATGTGAAAACAATGTATATTTCGGAAATTGAGAAGAATTTATTTAAATCCTTTTATATCGATGACATTAAAGCTAGAAGTCGCAACAGCCTGAAAACAGCAAATATTTGTGCGAGTAAATAAAAAAATTTTTTTTAACTACAAATCGGTAGGTTCACGCTTTGTTTCTATATGTACTTTAATCGTGGAAAAGCATTTATTATTTTATTCAACCAATAAAAAGGAAAGAGTGCGCAAAAATAATGTTTTATCGATAAAACAGGACGGCGGATTCAGAATCTCTTGGTTCAAGTATTCGACTGGACGGTTCTCACTCTGTCTGTCTTTCTCTCCTTGCATTTCTCCTTCTCCTGGGATATTTGAGCCCTCAACATGCGACGTAGCATACGAGGGTGTGCACTCAAAAGTGTATTCACTCATGTAGACACCGGGGGTCTCTTGATGTCTTTACGCGAACCGGGATGTAAAGATGCATTCACACCAACGGGAATTCTCTCAGAATGTCCGTCCCCCGACGATTTACCGACGAAAATAAAAGAAGAAATAAAAGGCTCATAAACATTTCTTGAACGTCAAAGGTCCCTAGATTTTTCCCGAGATCCGTTTCCTTTTTAATCGTTACGTTCTGTATTTAAGGGGACACTGACTGTGTGTCTGTTTTATTGATAAATATTATTTTCATTTAACTATTTATTGACTATACAAAATGAAAAATCCTTTACTACAATTAAAGTATTCATTATAACAAATCTGGGCTACTCTATATGTATATTAAAAAAATAACAAGAAAATTAAATAAGTAATACAGTTTTTATCGTCTTTTGCATTAGATCAATCTAACCTAAACGATAAGAAAATTGTAATTTAACTTTCTTGATTTTTTTGAATATACACATATAGTAGCCCAGATTTATCATTATAAATACTTTAATTCCAGTAAAGAATTTTTCATTCTGTATATAGCTAATGAAGAGTTAAATAAAAATAATATTTTGATCCTCTTAACCAGCATTTCTTTTGTTTGAATAATTCTTTTTTTTTATTATCCTATGTGAATATTTTATATATAGTTAAGAAGATGATTTTATCAAGCTTTTCTTATCTTCTGTCTTATTAAATTATATCAATTAATTCTTATATATATACATTATTTTGATATTATTAATTCCTTTCAACTCTTTTCAATATATTATTTCTGTAGATCGCGATCATTATTATACAATAATCGTTATACTTCAATTTAATATTCAACTTATATAACTATCATAATTATTTAAATCGGATAACAAGTTCTTAAATGTCCCAATATCCTCAAGAACAGTAACACTTCTAGTTTCGTAGTAGTGAAGTAAATCTAACGGAGTTTGAAGCTTGACGATCCTTCACCTTCGGCTACACTGCATCCCCGATGATAGGAGGTCATATGTTCTCCTGTCGAAGTTCAAAAGCTTCGATCCAACTTTAAAGTTTCATTGTCATTCGTTCAATCTGCGAGTTCTCCGGTGCAAAATCGCGGCCATAAGAAACGACTAAGAAAACTTTCTGTACGATCGCAAACTTTAAATTATTCAATTTAATGTCTTCACGGATATTTGTACATGATAGCGTTTGTGGTTAAAATTTATCCGTCATAATAATTATATCGGCAATTATAAATTAACGATGATAAAAATGTCATTTATTCCTTTGTATTACGGTGTTTATTCCTTTGTATGTTAATAGAAAAAATATTCAAGGTGTCCCAAAACTGGCGGAAAAGTTTTTAATGGCAGATTCCTGGTATCATTCAGAGACGATTTTTCCTCAGCGAAAATGTCGAGACACCAATAATGTTCGAATTATAAACAGTTGAAAATAAAGGCTTTTTTGGAAACTAAACCTTGTGGAATTAAAATCAATATTAACAGAACTACATTTTTCAGTTAATTCTAGACAGAGTTTGCTTTAATAGAATTTTAATATAAGGCTTAGTTATAAAGATACATAATAACAAAAATTGGAAACATGCTAAAAATGATGGTCTCCCTCAACATTTTCACTGAGGAAAAATCATCTCCAAATCTGATACCAGAAATCTGTCAATAAAAATTTTCTGCCAGTTCTGGAACACCTTCGAAAGTTGATGCTTCGAGTTTTGATAATTATACTATTTTCCACAAGCTCGAATTTTCCACATTTTATTCAAACTGCAATCGATCGACAAATCTTGTCGCAACCGAGCGAGGGTCGAATATCGCGACGAAATCAAAATCTTCTCTAACCTCGCCAAAACGTCGTAAAAGACGGACGATAGAAATACTATTCGATAACAGTATAAAGTTTACAATATAAGATACACTTCGAGTATTCTTACGGATATCAAAAGGAGCATACGTCGATTCTTTTCGCTCGAGAAACTGGCCAGAACTTTTTCACGACTATTTATTTTTTGTAATCATATATTTTTATATAAGTATTTATATATATTTTTATAATCATATATATATATATATATATACTATACTATGTAAATGACAGAAATTTTATAAGTATAATCTGGAATGGGATTACCGGAAAAACGCCGGCTTATTACGGCTCGGTGTCTCTCGCCGACTGCGATTAAAGATCTTTTAATTAAAGTCGGGGGCGAGATTTTTCATAAAGTTCTAACTTTTCTTTGTGATTACTCGTTATTCAAATTAAAAAAGGAAATTAGATCGCCGCGCGCGACAATACACCTATCGAATCGATCGATCGCGCTTACGAAGTGCGTCTGCACCATGAGAATTAATTTAAATCCTTTTAATTAGACAAGCGCGCTGCTGCTTTAGTGCTCGCAAACGCAGTCACGTTTTAATTACTTTTCTTCAAACTAAAAAGAAACTATGACATACAATCTGCGCGAGGAAAAAGAATAAGAATTTGATTAGATCTTTCATTTAATTGATGACGCGCGCTCTAAAATGGGATTAAATGCGATATCTCGCGCTTTCAATGTGAAAATAATTGAAAATGCAAAATTAAAAACCTTATATATATATATATATATATATATATATATAATCGTCGAGTATTCTAATATACATACAAGAGCTAACGCGAGACGAACGATGCGAGCGCTCATAAAGTTGTAGATAAAAGAGACTACAAAGTAATTGCATTTGCATATGAATTCTACGACCCACCGCCGCATTTCCCGATGCATCGATTTGCACAGATAACCATACATATTGCATTTAGATAGAATTTTTGACACGACAATTTTTGATACGTTCCTCCTCCAAGAATAAATGTGGTGCTCCGAAATAAATGTAGAAATGGAGGGAATTAAAAATCAGTTATTCCATTGATTTATGTCGTAATTCTTTACGTATACAAGGTGATTCTAAAAAAGTACAAAACATTTTAGGAGATGATTCTTTGTCAAAAATTGAGGAGGGTCTTTCATATAAACATATATTCATCTCTGAGAAATTACAATCTTCCAAAGAAGAAAGTGATAATTAGATTTTTATTTTCTTTTCTCAAATTTTGTTTTTGTTCCATTTTTCCTATATTTATACTATAATTTCATTTTGCTTACTTTTTTTATTCTAAAATTCAATTTCTCATTTAGCACCGTGCAGTATATTTTAATTTTTTTCTTGCAAAATATTGATTTTACGAAAAAAAATAGAAGAAATAAAAAAGTTTCTAAAGAAATCAAGCTTTCTAACGCATATTTTTATATAATCATATTCCGGCCCATTAAAAAGTTTTAATAAAAAATTGAGTAAAGATAGCAAGTTTCATCCTTAAATAATGATACAGAAAAATTAAAAAATGTTAATAAGTATACTTTTTACTGGAAAATGTTCACCAGATTTCATTTTATAACTTTTCCAAAATTTGAGAAAAAATCATCTCCTAAGATTTTTCGCATTTATTCAGAATCACTCTTCATATAATCTGTTGAAAATAATGACGCTGAAATTTTCGTAGTGTTTCAGCAAATTTCAGTATTCCCTAATAGATAATTAAGGAAACACGCTATTTAATGAAAAGCCGCATACTCCGCTATACGAGACTTTGAATTTGCTCGCGTTAACACTTTTATGAATGATGCTCTTGTACATGCTCGCAGACACATATGAATGGCATACGAACACCAGCGAAGTGCAAGAGCGAGTTGAGAATTAATTATGTGTCATGGGAAAAAATGGATTCGTGCGATAAACCAGGCTGGTGAATGTCATGAATAGTTTCAAATCTCGCGACTCGGTGAGTGACTGCGTAAACTTGCACCTCTTCGCGTGCAGGAGGTCGCCGGTATTACTCTAATCGTGGGGCGAGATAACTCGAGAACGATTGCTTATATACATATAATATCGCACGTTATTCTAATCGATCCCTCTCCGCGATAAATTGTGACGTCACGTAAATTAAAATCGTGTTGCGAGAGAAATTCGCGGATGAAACGATACGTAAAATGACACTTACCCAGACTGAATCCGGAATCCTTCACGTGGATGACCACCATCGGAATCAGTACCATCACGACTAGGTTTATGACGTGGAACACCATTCCCGGGCCATGAGCTATGATATCCTGCGGCACAAAAAGATACACAAGTTACGGCAGGAAGTGACTTGCACACGAGCAGTGGCATACATATCGCGATAGCAAAAGTGATGATGGAGGAAGTAAAATGATGGACACTGTTATGAGAGCTAGTAAGTACAATTTTTTGTCGCAAAAAGCAATCTTGAAGATCAACTATGAGAAGAAAAAAGAAATAAGAATTAATATGAAAATAAATATGACACATTAAGGTTTGGCTTATTGTTAGATATTTTCATATTTTTTTCTCCTCATAAAACGATAAAAAATATTTGTCCATAAGTTAAAATAGAAAAGTTGACAAAAAACAAATTGTCTAGATTTTAATAAATCAAGAAATTAAAATTAAATTAAAATAAGTATATATAAATTATTTTTTTTCTTATTTAAATCACAAAATTGTATTTCTCTTAAAATGTCAAAATTTTTAAAATAATAAATTTATTTTTATTTTTCATGCACGAAATAAAAATAAGAATTCATTCAATTGGATTTTATTAATTTAATTTCAATGTATAGACAATAAATTAAAAACTTTTTTAATTAGTCATGGTAATTGATTAATTAAAATTTGTATTACAATATAATTAATTATTAAAATAATTAAATTAAAATAATTAATTATAATAATTAAAATCTGCTATTAGTCATAAAATAATCAATCAATTGTAATTAATATAATATATGTATATATATAATGTTATAAAATTAGTTAAGCAATAAAAATCAATATTATCTGTACTACAAAAATTAATAAATAAATGACAAATCGATGACTCGAAAAATTATTGCAATCTCGAAATATTTGTCATATTATGAAATTGTTTATTAAGTATCAGTTAACACGCTGTTAAAGTATTGTAGAGTAATTATAAAACACTTTGTACAACGGCCAAAGATTATATAAATTGCATGAGAGTTTCAGTGTAAATAATCAAATGTGACGAGAAATATTGTAAATATCGTGAAACGTGCGGAAACGATAAAAGATAATTACAGTTAAATAAATTCCGTGCTGATATATTTATAATTTCATATATATTTCGTGAAGCAAATATAGCAAATTTTTCTGTTTATGCTCCCGACGTGCTCTGTCGGGAACCTACCGGATTCCGAATACGTGTAAATCACCGTCACGTTGGTATGCGTGATGTATCGGGACCGAGATGTAATCCGCAGCGCGCCTGCGGTGAAATTTACGAAAAGTTAAACGTTTGCAACAAAACGAAAGTGGATTATTTAAACTTGCGTAACCCGCTACACTCTGCGGATGATGGATTGATGGAATTCAAGCGAATTTTACTCATCTATTACTGATGAAATGTTATGTTTTCCTTTTAGTTTCTTAAAATAAAAGTATAAATAATAATTCTTTAATTTTCTTTAAAAAACTGATATAAAAACTGAATGTAAAACTTTCCAGTTAAACATATGTCGTCATCCAAGTAAAAATTTTCCGGGTGTTCCACATTAAATACTATACCATGTAATAGACATTATTAAAGGGATGCTAATTAGGTCTGTTTTATTAACAAATATTATTTTCATTTAACTCTTTATTGACTATGCAGAATGAAAAATCTTTTACTAGAATTAAAGTATTCATAATAAAACAAATCTGAGCACATATGTATATAAAAAAAAAAACAAGAAAGCTAAATAATTACAGTTTTTCTGTCGGTCTTTTGCATTGGATTAATCTACCCTAAACAATAAAAAAACTCTAATTATTTAATTTTTTTGGTTCCTTTTTATATACACATATAATAGCCTAGATTTATTTTTTATTATGAATATTTTAATTCTGGTAAATGATTTTTCATTCTGTATAGTATAGCTAATAAAGAGTAAATAAAAATAATATTTATCGATAAAACCGACCTAATTAGCATCTCCTTAAGGCATCCAAAATGATAACTTGCCAAACTCAATCATTTAGAATCTAATTAGGACCTAATTTTTATTTCTTTTTTTAACGCCATTTTGATTTGTATGCTTAAAGTCTATCTCGGGGTCGAATGTATTTTTCAAGACATTTTTATTTAAGCGAGTTTAACTATAACTCATATAGAACCCAGTTTTAAACAAAAATGTTATTTAATTATATATATAGAGAGATCAACTATTCAGTGATTTTAAATTATATCAATATTTTATACATTTCTATATATATATATATATATATATATATATATCTAAGAAATGTAAAAAATATATTGATATAATTTAAAATCACTGAATAATTTATTAAAAAAAGAATCCATATTTAACACGATTTCAATGAGTGAATAAAGAGTCGCTGAAACTTAATTTAGACAGCAATGTATTTTTTACTATGATTCCTTACATAGACGACTTAGAAAGCCAACATTGGTTCAAATAAAAATTTTATATTAGTCCAAGTTTGGAAAACAAAAAGAGCCTTACATAAAATAGCGTGACAATCAAAAATTGGAGCAAGATAAGCGTTGTAATGTGAGCCTCGAATAAAGTTTGGAAGCCTTTATAGTTCTCGGTTACTGCCTAGGAAAAATTTCCATGCGGAAAGCGCATGCTGGAGTCAATTTTCATTTAAGATTACTTTTTAATCCGATTCAAATGCGAACGAAGCGCTTACACAGCGAAGCGTTACTTCAGCAAAGGGTGAAAAAAAAACCCGTGTGTGTATGTAACTATAAACGAAATTACAGTGAATATTCAAAACGTGAGATTACTACGAGGTTAATTAGCAGAACAAAGTACGTTACAAAGGAACGTATAAATCAGAGGGCGTCGTCAGAGAGAGAACTCGCGTCCGCAAAAATTGAATCACGGTATTTCATTCGCGAGATCGCGCGCCCTGTTATAGGATTCAATAAAAAATTACACACCCGTCCCGGGGACAAAGGTTAATTATTTAAACGCGCCTGTCGGACGCCGTTTGACAAAGTATCGCGTGAACGTGATTTATCAACGGCGAGTTATTATGGCACGGAAACAAACGTGTCCTGATATACGCGAGGTGTGAGAGAAACATCCGCGAAAAATATTTCGCTTCATCCGCATCACGCATTTGCGCGGCCTCGGCTGCGAAAAACAATGGCGCCTCTTTTCCTCCCTCCCACGCACCCCGGCCTCATTTGCACTCTCGCAAAGTTTTGTATCCTGAACTAATTATCCCCGGGGGCTAAGAATAGATTCCATAAAGAATGCAGTTTTACAGCTTCCTCGAAACTTAGCCGGTGAAGAATGCACGAGAGCTTCGGAGGATAGTTAAGAAGAAATTCCTCTTCGTCGAAAGCACATTGTCTGCCGAAATCTGTACTAATTAATGAGCTATAGTCGCGAGAGATGAGATATTAAAGAGATTTATAATTTTAGAATTTTCGAAGCGGTGATACCGCGCGCACAAATAGCTTATGATCTTTCAAAATTATATGGATATTTAAGTAAATCGATATAATTAAATATAAAAATTATATTAAATATTATAATATATATAAATATAATAAATATAATATATAAATATAATAAATAAATATATAAATATAATAAATAAAATAATATAATAATATATATGTTAAAAATGTAATAACTGATATTTAATAATTTTATTAAAATTAAATTTGATTTATATACGTAAAAGAAATTTATCTACCAAAAATTTACCGATAGAAAAAACGAACACGCGCGAGTATAATATTCATATGTATGCATATCTGAAATAAAAAAAAACTTGAAAAATGTATAACAAACGATATCGCACGCAGTTAAAGGTTAAACCTGCTCGCGCTTCAGAAATCATCCAGCATTCGCATGACAATATGGAAAATAGAGGAAACACGTTTTCCGTCCGGTCAAATATTTACGGAGCGCTTGACCCAATTATGGCGCACAAAAGAGTACCATGAATTTACGGAGACCGGGGATACGTCTAAACATTTATGTAGCAATACACATCGCATATATACATTCCCGGCACAAAAAGTAGAATTAACACAATTTTTGTATTCCTTTGAGCATGTTAAAGCGGATTTAATATACCAGTGCAGAAACGATGAAATTAATGACAAAAATTTATATCAAAGCATATCACATGTATAATAGTAAATAAAACTTCAAACGACGTAGAAATTCTTATGTTGAAAATCAATAAATTTAATCGCGATTTTTGTTATTCCAGTTACCGAAATAATTTTTAAATTAATTAGCATCATATAAAAAAAAACGTATATAACGCCGCTTCATTTTAATTAATAAATAAAAGTGACTTTTTGATCAAATAAAATATTTTGATCTGCGTTTCATTTTTCACGCAAGCGTGCGTATAAATATTAAATAAAGACAGAGAACGCTACATTTCTGAAAATGGATACATTTATCACGAGGAATCATCGTCATATCTTTACTACAAACGGGCCGCATATCACATTGTCGCGGTTGACAAGGCAGTTAAAAAATGCAGCAAATGCAAGCGGACGTGACCGATAAGTTTTCCGTGCCATCAGATAACCGTGCGTTAAATTATCAAACGCGGGGATGAATTGCGCGCAAACGGCTCGCATAATAAAACCCGACAATTTCATCCAAATGTAAGCGCGATCACGTAAATGGTTCGCGAATGCATGCGAAAACGCGAAAGCAGAAGTTATCCGCGCGCGATATGTTAGTTCTGAGTATTAATTTGCTATATATTATTCATACCGGACTCTCTACGCGCCCGAATTATTCATACATCGTTGTAATTATGCGTTCGTCATTAGCCGAATTATTAGTCAATTAGCGGCCGGCGATTAATCAGTGAGTGGTAATTACTACGCGCGCCGATATCGCTCCGGAGTTTGTGTGTCAATGACGCGGGGATTCCATTTCAGAAAAGGAAGCCGACAAATCGAATTCAACGTTTCAACAGACATAGAGCGGATTATACTATATCGAATTGATTATGCATTATAATAAAGTAGTTGCATATATGCGTGAAATCACCTAAACATCCCGTGCATGATAGTGCAAATGCAAATATATAATGTTCTTGTCAATTTGTTCTTTAATTTTTACAATAATATTATATTAATAATTTTTTAATAATTAATTTGTATAATATTATAGATTAATAATATTAATAAAATAATATAATAAATATTATTTAATTAATATTAATATACATATATGTATTAATAATTAATATTTGTACATATATATGTATATATATATATATATATATATATATATATATAAATTATATTAATATTATTAGTAATACTATCAAACAAATATAATACAATTATATAAAAATTAAATAAATGCGAGAAATTTTTAATGATTCTTTGTCGAAAATTAAAGTGGTTTTTTTATATAAACATATTATATTCTTATCTCCTTCCCTAAGAAATTATACAAATTTCGACAAAAAAAAAAGATAAAAATTAAGTTTCTACTTTCAAATTGTTTCAAATTTACCAATTTAAAAAATGAAATTTGATACACAATTTCCACTAGTTTAAAAACTCATTAATATTTACTCATTAATATTTTTTTAATCCGTATCATTATAAAGGGATGAAACTAACAATATTTATTCAATTTTTATTAAAACTTTTTAACGAGCCGAAATATGGTAACCTAATAATATGAATTAGAAAGCTTAATTCTTTTAGAAAATCTTTTTCATTTATTTTTTCGTAAAATAGTTTCGAAAAAATATACATATGTATATTACAATGCGCACAATGCTAAACATAGATTTTGAGTTACGAGCAATTAAATTTTAGAATAAAAAACGAGAGCAAAGCAAATTGTCTATCAAATTCACTTTTGTAACTTGTCCAAAATTTGAGAAAAAATTAGAAAAGTTTTTACCTCTCGCTTTGAAAGAGTATAAATCTTTAGAGGGAATTATAGGAGCATATGTTTATATGAAAAAGCTTTTTCCCCCCTTAATTTTCTACACACAAAGAATCATCTAAAAATTTTACACTTATTTAGAGAATCACCCTGTATAAATATTCTTAATTCGCAGTATTGTGCTTAGATTTTACAATTAGCTAATAAAGATGAAATAAAAATATGTAAATTTATTTTAGTTAGCTTATGATAAAGATAATTTTGTTTTAAATATATCTAAATAAAATTATATGGTCAATCATCTAGATAATTTTTAGATAATATTATTTTTAAAACCGCTTATGTAAACACATAGTTATAAAAAATGTAATAAAAATAAATTATTATAAGAAATATAAAAATATACTCATATTTTTATTTACCGCTTACTGCTTAAGTTCTACTATACTTAAGCATATTTATGTGTTATGATTCTAAAATTATTTATACAAAGATAAGATGTCGCCAAAACTTCATCTAGATGATAATTTATATAATTTTATTTATAGATAACAGTAAACACTGCTAATTCAACATTCTTTTTATATCTGACATTGCAAGCTTACCGAGTTCCAAACTTTGCGCGGAATAATCAAAAAGTTACGCGTGTTCATCCGGGATCCATGACAATTTTTCGATTCGCGAGTGATCGTCGCGAAATTACCATTGGCGGTATAATGTAATTATACTGACATTTACATAACGAACCGCGCGTAACACAAAGAATTACTAACGAACATGCTCACTGTACAAAGGAATACGCAATGGCGCGCAGATAAAAGGTCCATTAATGCGCGTCGCTATATTTCGTATGACGCTCGGAGAATCAACGACTTCATACAATACGAGGATGACCGGACGCAGGTTTCATCGGCTTGGTGCGATCACTTTTACGACACGACGATAAGGGAACACATCGCACGAGAGATTTCCGACGTTAAAATCCCGCTCCGCTGTCCGCCGGCATTATCAGGGCGCAGATAAAGCACTATGTACGGCACCGTAACGCGTCGACTTTCACCCTCGCGGCCAGGAAAAATATCGCCCGCCCTTATCTGCCAGCCGTGCGGGATCGTCGTCAAATCGATCGAATTGATTCGCAGACTTGGGCCAAGTTACGGCCAATAATAATCTGCGCTGCGACTTAAATGGGTTTCCTGGACATTAGAACGATTGTTCGAAAAGTAGTAAAAGAAAAAGACAAAAAATTGTCATTGCATTTTATGACGTAATTATTGCGAAAGAATGTTTCGAAAAGTGTTCATAATCTATTTATAAAAACAAATTTATTATATAGAATTTTGTTTAATTTCTGGCGTTTAAGGGGATCCTATAAACGTTTTTAAGAAGTCTGTTGTTTTTGTCCTGTTTTATCGACAAAATGTGAGGTTAGATAAACTATAAATCTATTTATTGGCTAAACGAATTGTTTTTTACCTGAAATTAGACCAGGCCGGATTTGACATTGGATAAAGGAATTTAAGTGAATGCTTAGATATCAATTTGGAAGCCTAGTAAACGAGAACAACTCATCCTACATTTTCGTGCACACATGAAACTAACTTCCCATTTTGTCGATAAAACAGAAAAAACCAACATACTTCTCAAGGGCGTTTAGGATCCCTTTAAACTGTATTCCTATAGTGTGTAAATAATTTTATAATTTCCATGAAGGAGAAGATCAAAGAATATGAGAATATGAAAAAAATTTGTGAAATGGAATAGAATCGTACTTTTCCTATATATTGTTCGCAAAAAGGCGTCCCGGAATATTTTACAGAAGTGAAACTGACAGTTCATCGATATTAAAGGCCGGGCAAAAGCTCGAAGAAGAATAAAACGCAACAAATGTCACTCTTTCTCTCCTATAGTGAATAGTATTTCTGATACTTTTCTCTATAGTTGCAGAAAGTTACTCCGCCACGAGTTTCCTCATCATATCATTTTATTATTTAGTTCCTCAGGCTCTTTATAAAAAAAAGAACAAAGGAAAAGAAACGGAGTCTGTCGAAGGTGAAAAGTGGTGCAATGTGTCGCTCGGTTCCTCATGTTTATTTCTCTTTGTCATTCTCTTTTTATCTTTGATTGTTCCTCGATGTCTGTTCTGCGAGTGCGAAAAGAAGATGAAGAAGAATAAAGAAGAGCGAAAAAGCACACGAGTAACTTTCCTTCAAGACGAGAATTTTCTTTCTAAGGTTTCGTCATATAATAAAACTCGAATGCGTTTATTTTCACGATAAAGTGCGGTGGATTTAGACAAAGTACAATAGCGCTTTTTTTACTTTATTAATTTTAAATATATAAGATAATTTAAGAAAAGAAAATTAATCGCCTGCGGAATTTAAAAAATATTAAAGAAAAAGAAAGAGAGTTTTATATTATATAAAATATTTCTTCAATTATCAATAATCATATACCGGGTGTTTCTAAATAAGTGCAAACAATTTTAGGAGATAAATGTTTCTCGAAAATTAAGGGAGGTTTTTTATTTACTCTAATATCCCTCGCTTAGGAATTATACTTTTTTAAAAAGGGAGGTAAAAATTAGGTTTCTTATTTTTTCTTAAAAAAAAAACTTAATTTTACAAACAAAAAATCAAGCTTTCTCACACATATTCTTAGATAATCACATTTCGATCGTCATCACAATTAAAAAGTTTTAATAAGAAATTGAATAAGAATTGTTAGTTTTATCCCCTTATAATAATACGGGAGAAATTTAAAAAATATTAATAAAAAACTTTTTATTAGAAAACATTCACTAAATTTCATTTTTCTAACTTGTCCAAAATTTGAGAAAAAATTAAAAACCTAATTTTTACCTCCTACTTTGAAAGAGATAAAGGTATAAAGAGAAATATATGTTTATATAAAAAACCCCGTCTTAATTTTCATCTAAGAAATCATTTTTTTCCTAAATTTTTTCTCATTTAAAAAACACCCTGTACAATCGTATTTTGTAATCGAATTATAAACGTTACAGAAACAAATAAGATTTTTTTTTCGTAGAGGGATACGATATTTTTTCTGTATAATATCTTGTTTTATCGGCAATACTCATTAAAATATGCATCCAAGCTATACATTAATAAAAATATGCGAATGATTACACACACACACACACACTGCATCGAGTGGAACAAATAAATTAATCGTACGCGAAATTTTACAAAGCTGTTGCCGCGAATGCAGCCTCGTCAATTCTTTTATTTCCAATCGATACAATGCGAGCAGAGCGTCGACGCTATTAAGGGCAATAAATTACAATGTAACGCCTCCCTTGTCGAACGAGTTGCGGTATCGTGCGACTATCGTTCAGTCGATTACCCGGATATTGGATTTGCTCACTTTCCGCTCGCACGCCCCCTTATACATATGTATACCAAAATATTTGGAAGAAAAATTCACTCACTACGGACAGTCCTTTCTCGATCAGTAGACAAAGAACCACGGGTAGGATGGAATCTGCAAAACAAACAAAACGAAAAAAGGGTTAGTTTATCGATCATACGGCTCCACGTCGCTTCTCTTCCTCTTCGCGAATTTGTCATTCTACCGCCCTTTCTCGCTTTCTTCCTCTCTCTCTTTTTAAAACCGGCCGAACATCGAAATGTGCAGTCGACCGATCGGCAGCCGAGCCGAAGAGAGGAAGTGACAAGGGCTTGTCACTCGGAGTGACGGTATAGAAGCGAGCGAGCGAGCGAGATAGGTTATACAGGGTGTTTCTAAATAAGTGTGACAAATTTTGGGAAATGATTTTTTGTCGAAAATTAAAGGGAGTTTTTCGTATGAATATATCCTCCTTTTTATATTCCTTCAAAGACAGAGCTGAAAATTAGGTTTTTCAATTATTTATACTTCTTACATTTTGAATAAGTTAAAAAATGACATTTAATGGATATTTTCCACTAGTAAAAAAATATATAATTAATACTTTTTTAATCTTCTCGTATCGATATAAGGGGATGAACCTAACAACCACTATATAATTCTATTTCGGAGCTTCTATGTCGAAAATTAAAGGGATTTTTCATATAAACATGTACTCTTATATTCCCTGAGGACTTACACTTCTCCAAAGGAGGAGGTGAAAATTAGCTTTTTATTTTATTCCTCAAATTTTGCACAAGTTAAAAAATGGAATTTGGTACACCGTAAAAAATGTGTTAACTTGATTAAACCTCTCAACTAAATCACTATTTTGTTAATTGAACATATATTAATATTTAAGTCAAATATACGTTTTGTTAGATTTAATTTAATTATTTTTAGATGTTCAATTAACAAAATAATATTTAGTTGAAAGGTTTAGTCAACAAATTTTTTTACAGTGTAGATATTTTCCATTAGTAAAAGAACTTATTAACATTTATATTTATTAATATTATTATAATCTTTCCGAATCGTTATAAGAAGATGAAACTAACAACCCCTATTCAATTTTTTATTAAAACTTTTTATCGAGTCGGAATTTGATCGTTTAAAAATATGCGTTAGAAAGCTTGATTTCTTTAGAAACTTTTTTATTTCTTTTATTTTTTCGTAAAATTAATAGGTTTCAAGAAAAAATGCATTATAATGCATATAGTGTTAAATGGCATAAATTTTGAGTTTCAAGAAATTTAATTTTAGAATTAAAAAACCAAGCTAAAACTTAAATCACTTTCTGAGAGAGAAATCTAAGATGATATTTTTGATTATACGTACTTATACTTCTATATCTTTTTTAAGTAGTTACACACTTCTCCAAAGGAGGAGATAAAAATTACGTTTTTATTTTTTTCCTGAAAAACTATTGATTGTACAAAAAAATCAAAGAAATAAAAAAATTTCTAAAAGAATCAAACTTATTGATGCATATTTTTAGATGATCATATTCCGGTTCCGTTAAAAAGTTCCAATATAAAATTGTATAGGGGTTGTTAGGTTCATCCCCTTATATCGATACGAGAAGATTAAAAAATATTAATAAATATTTTTTACTAATGAAAAATATCAAATTTCATTGTTTTAACTTGTCCAAAAAATGTGAGAAAAATTAATAATTAAATAATCTATTTATTTATAATCTATAATTTTCAGCTCTTGAAGAAATATAAGAGTAATCCCCTTAATTTTCGACAAATCGTTTCCCAAAATTTTTCACACTTATTTAGAAACACTCTGTATATCAGATTAATTTTTTTTTACTAGTTGAAAATATCCATTAAATTTCATTTTTTTACTTGTCCAAAATGCATGTGAGAAATATAAATAATTTAAAAACCTAATTTCCAGCTCTGCCTTTGAAGGAATATAGTATATATTCGTACGAAAAACTCTGCTTAATTTTCGACAAAGAATAATTTTCCAAAATTTTTCGCTTATTTAGAAACACCCTGTATATACGGAGAAAAAGAGAAGAAAGAGAGGACAGGCGAGCGTGTGGCGAAAGCTGCGCAGGAAGGATAAATGCTGCCGGTGATCGAGAGCGTCGCTCTCGAAGGGAGGACACACAAAAAAAGAGAGAGAGAGAGATAGCAAGCCGATATCGAACTAGCAGCGACGAAAGCGCCTCGTCGATAAATCATCCAAAATAGCACTCGATAAAGCGGAAGTACGATTGGGCGTACATCGAGCCGGACGCGACGCGATGCGCGCTCGGAGGAAAACAATATCGTCCTCGATCCCGACTCTATCCCGCGGAATAAGAACGGAATGCGCGTGTTTCGTAATCGTTTATTCAATTCTAAATTTTTGTCGCGCAGTCCCGTCTGCGACTATGGAATTGCGTGCATTACTGCGCGAAGAGACTGTCGCATTCCGGAAATTTCGTACAACGTAAGTTATGAATCCGTCGTTGCAAATTCTTCGACGATTTATCGTCGGAATGACAAGAATGAATGTTTTGACATATATTTCTGTGGAGATTAATTTGTCGAAAGGTCAAAATTTCGTCAAAATTTTATTTAACTTTTTTTAAATTAACGTCTCATTGTAGAATTTTACAACAAAATTATCTTTCGAAAAATAATAATAATAATAAAATAATAAATAATAATAAATCTCTACTGTTGTGTATTTTTAATCTTAAAATATTTAATTCGAGATACTATTTTTGTTTGAAATATTGATTATCATGCGAGAGAAAGTTTTTGTTAATCAAATATTCTCGGGAAATACTGATAATGAAATGTACCTTTTTCTCTTAGTCTACATATAAAAAAGAATTATATAGAAGGGATGTATCATATTAATATAGATCCGTATAGGGTGCTTTCTAAATAAATACAAAAAATTGAAAGCGATATTTCTTGGCTTATTTTATGAAGAAAAATTCCTAATTTACTTTGTTTTTAAAATATGAAATGTCAAAGTTGTGAAAAAAATATAAAAAATATGGAAGGAAGTGACTAGACATACTATTTAAAGTATTTTTATGTGCTATAATTCTAAACTAAAATTATTTGAAAATTATTCTAGATAATTTAGTAAAATACAACTTTTTTCATCTAAGATGCAGATATAGATAATACTTATTTTTATTATCTATATAAATTTTATTTATTTAAATTCATCTTATTGTTAGATAAAATGAAGATAATTTTGTTTTTAATATATCTAGATAAACGATAAAATTATATGGCAATTCATCTAGATAATGTTCTAGATAATAATTTATAAGACTGCTTATGTAAACACAGTTATAAAAAAAAAATATAAATTACAAAAAGGATATAAAAAATATGTATTCGTAATATTTTTATCGCTTACTGCTTTAGTTCTACTGCTAAAGTATTTTTATGTGTTATGATTCTAAACCAACATTACTGAAAATTATTCTAGATAATTTTGTAAAATAATACTTTTTTTTATCTAAGATGCAGATATAGATAATACATATTTTTATTATCTATATTTTATTATCTAGATAAGAATTATCTAGATAAGATGTTTTATTATCTAGATAAGAATTATCTAGATAAGATATTTTATAAGATATTTTATTTATTATCTATATATATATATATATAGATAAGAATTTTATTATCTAGATAAGACGACGCCAAAGTTTCATCTGGATGATCATCTATATATTGTAATTTTCTTTAGCTAAACACTGCGAAGGAGATTATCGAGGATCGATCCTAAAAACGGCGTTTTTGAAGAAATACAAAAGATTTTCTCTTCTGTTATTTCACGTCGCTTCTCTTATCTGTTTCCCGCATCGTCTCCGGAATCGCGAGCGCTCGGACACTTTCGAAGATTACGTGAGTTTTCAGCGTGGATGAGACACGCGATAGCGGTAAGATTTCACCGCGAGTGGCTCATCGTATTCCTCGAGGTATCATCCGCTCTGGGATAAAATATAGGCGAAACTTAAATAAGTTTAAGAGATGCAACCGGATGATAGGCGAACTCGCAGGATTCGGAATTGCGAGAGCATCACGTCGAAACGCGAACCCAACGTGAAGATCCGGAGGAAATGCATGCGCCTGCGGCGAATCGAGGGAATTTTAGCAGCGCAAATTATTATTATTATTAGTGTTCTTAATGAAAAACATTGGCTATGCATTGTTTTCAAGAAATTTAATCCTCTCGGCGCGCCGCGCCAACGGGAAACATTTTAATATATAATAATACGCACAATCTGCAGCTGTCAGATTTCATTAAAACGGGAAAATTTTCGTCCGACCATGAAAAGATATATATGTATATACATATATTACAAAAACAGATTTTTGCTTTAATAAAGTTCCAACGTATTCGTCCGAAAAGGAATTTTAAAAAATTATTTGAATTTGAATATTTTAACTAGTTAGCTGTCTGTCATTTCTGAATTGAAATGTCTACGTTATACAAAAATAATCGTGCTGCCTTTATGGTCATTTCGTGAAATCTTGATGCTGGAGAACGTTGTTACAAGATATGGGTCGGATATAACGAGTCATGCATAATTAGTAATTTTCACGTTACACGCAAGTATCATATATTACTGTAATGATTGTACGTACGCGCGAGTATTTTTGCCTCTTGCAAACTATTATTAAGTGCGCGAACGTTTGCGCTATTCGAGTTCCCGTCGTTTTATGCTAATCCCAAATTAATTTTAGCAAACAAAAAAAAAGAAGTCGCACGCTGACGCGTGTAAAATGTAAAGCAGGCAATCAAGAACACGTTAGTCACAATTAGTTGTTCTGCAGTAATTTCCATGTAGAGCCTAAACTTCTCCTCCTCTCGTCTCGTTACTACTTCGGAAAGTCTTAAGTCACTCTCGCATCGTTAATCGAATTTTCAGTCGACAAAATCTTTTAATACGGATTAATGCTTACCGTTAAAATAAAAAAGTGCAACAAATCATTGCAAACAATTAAGTACATTTCGCGTTACGAAAAACCGAGGCTTTTGTATTTTCTTTCGACCGATTGAGCGATTGGTAGAAAGCTTGTTTGAGACTTTACTACTTTGTGAACTTCGATAATGCC